TGATCATGGTCCCTTCTGGCCTTAAAGTCTATTAGTATTGACTATAAGAAGACAAAAATAGTATTAGACTATGATTTGGCTAACGAACTAGAAAACTGGTCGATATAACCATTCAGGTTTTCAGAATCAAGTCACAATCACAAGAGAAAATAATACTTAGTGTCTATCTTGGGAAGGTGACTATGTTTAGATTTATCAATTCCAGTGTTGCTAATGTAATAGAGGAAGAAAACAAAAATCCCACAAATTATATTAGCCCCAGGATATGACTAGCACTCCTAACTATCTAACATAAACTTGTACATTTTTGACAGACTGTATAGACTGAGTGCAGTTACAAAACAAGGGCACACACTGTAACTTTGTGACAATCTTTACAGCAATACACAAGCATGTACACTGCCTTACTAATGTAGATACCCAGTTTCGGAAAGTGGTCAACTGACAGATGTGGATTGTCACCCAACGTGTTACTTATCACCAGATCTTTGCTTAGCCATCAGCTTTCAGTTCAGATATTGTTCACAGCAGGAGCTGACACTGAAAACACAAATGGAGCAAAGGATGGACACAACTATAGTCTTTTCAAGGTGCGCTAGTGATCAACCCAAGTTGCTGGAAAATAAAAAGAGACAGTTAAAGATGTCTGCCTGAAATAGGAACTGCTGTAGGTGGCAGACCAGGACCTGTCTTCTTCCTTCCAGATGTTTTTGTCTTATGCTGAAGGAGACAGGCTGTTTTATTCCATTTCTGCTGGTTGGTCCAGCTTGGTTCCACTTCTTGGAGGTGTTGGCATGGACCACTCAGAGGGTGACCCATACTTCCATTGGGACATACCTTGAAAACCAGCTGGTTTGCTCCAGTCAGCATCTTACTGCTGCATGGGCTACTATGGTGCATTCCTTGGCCAACTTCACAGTTATGCTTGCTCAAGTTGCAGTTTCTCCATCAACACTCTGCTAGCTGCTAAAATGTCCAGTTTATAGTTATGAAGTCCTCCCATATATTCTGATGCTCTTTAAACTTGTATAATGGACGGTTAAAAATACAAAGTCACATCAGGAACTCTCATTCTCCAGCAGGTCAGAACAGCTGTATAAATCTTCTATTTCTGTTCTCCCTGTTTTAAAAACAATGGCAGGTCAATTGGTATGTCTGACTGAGCTGTGTGCATGCAATACTTTCTGAGTATTCCACTCTGTGATCAAGTGTTTTTATAAACACATTATTTGGTTTCAGTTCCTTTTATTTACTGCCTCTTTCAGCACAGGTGCATTTCACTAATTTGATAGCATAAGCATGCTTAATTGCAAATGTTAGCCTTACTTTTTCACTATGTCACTAAACTAAAAGAAATTAATATGAATGCAACCCCTTTCTTTCCATAACAGGATTGCCCCTGAGGTAAACCCATTAAAGTTTACAATATTTTGCCAAAAGCTGCATTACTTAAAGTTGACTTTATATATCACTTCATTCGATCATAATATTAGATTGCATCATGTTTCCTATTGTTCACTACTGTATCTGGCACATAATATAATATTTTAATGTTTGATAGCCATTTTTAAATTAATTAATTAATTCACAGACAGGGAAAAAAGGGAAGCTTCTTCAGCAATGCCCACAGCACATTCTTACAAAAGGCTGCAGACACGGTTTCCTCAGACAGTCTGAAGAAATCTTGCCGTTAGACCTTGAATTATTTTCTCTCAACCTTCTCTCCTATCCTTTCGAAACAGCCTTGAATCTTGGGCAATTCTTAAGTAGTAATAACTCAGCATTTTGAGGACTTAAATGAGAGATCCCATATAACAAGGGCAGGCAATATCAATTCTGTGGCTTAACATGACTATTTACTTAGCTAAACCTTTTCTAACATGGCTAGGATGGGTTTTATAGAGATAATGTACCAGATTCTTCCTTATATTTTTTGGAGCAGCTTTGTGCCACTCTAAAGTCGGCATATCCATTCATGGGAGGATCACCTCAGCACAGAGGGATCCATGATATACAGACAATTGAACAACTCTTATATCACCTGGCATCTTACGGTCAGTATAAGGGACATAACCAGAAGGAAGGAGGAGCAGGGCTTCCCTGTGCCTTCACAATACTCAAGTGCTGTAACAGTAACAGTCCCTGGAGGCCAGTGGCATGCAGCCTAAGTTAGAGCAGCATGTATAATCTAGGACTGATCTGGCACCTAGTCAACCCAGAATCAAGGGTGTACAAAAATGGCTTACAGTTACCTTTGCATATACACCCTCCATCTTGAACTGCATTGTGAGTTCCTCACCCTAACCAAGGATAGGGTCCCTTATCTTTATATGGCTGAAGTGATTTATTTTCTGATTTAGCTTTGCTGGACCTTGAAAATGTTTTTCAGGTGATATATATTTAACAAATATTGCAAACATCCCCACTATCATCTAGTGAAATAAAAGAGCTATATTTTATAGCTATGATGTTACTTGAGGATCGTACTTCATACTGGGACTCAGAGCCCTTCTAAAAAAAAGTCTTTTAAAGACCAACCCCAGAGAGCTTTTATTTCTTTTAAAATAAATCAATAAAAGGAATACAGCATGTAAATGAATGCAAGTCCTATCTGGGGACTGACCAGCTTGCCTCTGAACCACAGTACCACCACAAAACAATGGTTCCTAACTATTTTGAAATAAAACTGCAAGTTTTAAAAACCATAGTCATGTGTCAAGTATCAGAGGGGTAGCCGTGTTAGTCTGGATCTGTAAAAAGCAACAAAGAGTCCTGTGGCACCTTACAGACTAACAGATAAGCTTATGCTCCAATACATCTGTCAGTCTATAAGGTGCCACAGGACTCTGTTGCTTTTTACATAGTCATGTGGTTTGCTGAGCAAACAGAATCCTACAAAACAAATTACAAGAACCCACAGGGACCAGGAATGTTTTTATTTTTTTAAAAAAATATGTCCTTTGTTAATTTGTACATAAATTGGAAAAGTTGTATGTTAAAAATATAATTTAGAAGCAATTCAATTTTTCTTTGGACTCAGTTGTGCAGTGTATACTCAGACCCTAGGAGTCACATTGGAATTAATGAGAGACTTGCCTGGATAAGGACATCAGGAATTGCTTCCTTAGTACCTATGCAGCAAGATGCATGCAGGCAAACCCTTGTGCCAGTGCAGAGCCCTGTGAAGTCAACAGATATTCACATGGGTGAGTCGATCTGCCTGCATGTATTTCTTTGTTGCATCAGGCCTTTCGATACAGCAAAGCAAATACCAAGAAAGATGGCAATCAGTATTAATTGTGAAACTACACAACTGTAGGCTTTAGATATAAAAATTATGTGGGCATCCTCTTCTCTAGGGAGAAGGGGATCGAAACTGATAATGTCTTTATATTGGGATCACTGTCAGAAATAAATATTTATTTGTCTGCCTTTATGACCCTGATTCAAGAAAGCCTGTAAGCACTTACACCCTTTGAATATGTTAATAGTCTAATAGAAATCAATAGGATTACTCATATACTTAAAATTACAGACATTTATGCTAAACTGGGGTCTATATGGATGATATAGGTAGATTATAGATAATGGATACAACATTATGGACCAGTTCCTTGCCTCTGCCACTGCTGCTTTGTGCTGTTCTGGTGGTGTGATTCAGTTGTAATGCTGGCTTGACCTGCTAGAGGATACCTCCAGGATGAGGGAATTTCTGCATGAATTATAGATGTCATAGCAGCTCCTACCTCATCATTACTAGCTTCCAGCTTAAGGAATGTGACCAGCAGAAAGGGGATGTGGCTCAGGCATCTCTGTGCCCTGATAATTCTCAAGCTGCCTGTATGGTCCATGGGAAGATTAGATAGTTGGGTGTAAGTTAGAGCTTCCTTGAGGCTCCTCTAACTTAGGACTCAGACCGATCACTCTCTCCAGGGCTGGCTCCAGGCACCAGCTGAGCAAGCTGGTGCTTGGGGCGGCAGCTTGTAGGAGGCGGCATTCCGCCCAATCCTAGGGCGGCACGGCCGCTTTGTGTGTGTGTGTGTGTGTGTGTGTGTTTTGTTACACTCCGGCCGCCCTGTAGGGGGCAGTGGTGCGGAGGACGGGAGCGCCCTGCAGCAAGCCCGGCAGGGCAGCCTGCGTCCTTCCCTCCCAGCCGACCGGAGCAGCGCGGAGCCTCCTGGCAGGCGCTGCACCGGTCGGGGCCACGTGGCAGCGCCCCACTGAAGCCCTGGCCGCCCCTCTTCTCTCTCTCACCCCGCTCCCTCCTCCTCCCCCCGCTAGCCGGGACACATCTGCGGCGCAGGGAGTCCCCCTGCACCCTGGCTCTGGCTGCACCGCAGGTTTTTTTTTTTTTGCTTTGCCGTTCTGGCCGCTGCAGGTTTGCTTGGGGTGGCCAAAAAGCCAGAGCCGGCCCTGCCTCTCTCACACCTCATTCTGTGTCTGTGCTTGTATATAATATTAGTACAATACATATATAAATAGAATAAAAATGATACATAAAATAAAGGATAGGCAACTGAAATAGAAGGACACTATGAAAACAAGAAGGGTGACACGCGTCTATTTGAATATCCAAGTGTCTGCACTGTCTTATTTACATTTTTCTCATTTCTGTATTTTTATCATTTATGGAAACAATAACTTTTTATAATGAAGTACTTTAAAAAAAGAAATTAGACAATTGCATTTATTTCAAATAAAATAAAACTTTAATTACAATTTTTAAAACATGATTAGGCAGTATTGTGCTTGTATTCAATCATCTATCTTGTTGCTTTGTTTGTTTATTTCTTTCATGGAGGAGCATAGTTATGTAGGAGTCAAGTGTAGGTTGGAAGAAAGAGCTTCACAAATTGATGCTTTACATTTATTCACTCTCTTTGCCAGTAGGTGGAGCTGCCATGTTAGGTGCTTGTCTCCCCTCCCCCCCCCGCCACCTTTTTCTTTTCTCTCCCCCTACCGCCCCTCCTAATAAGCTGTTTTCTAATATATGTTGGGTACCATAGAGTGAGACTGAGAACAGGAAGCGGAGGCAGAAGCAAAGAGGATTCTGGAAAGGTCTCTGTGTTTTCTTTTCCAAAGAGAATGCAGAAATTGTAATTAATTTGCAAACCTTTGTAGGCAGAAATCTGGATAATTTCAGGAGGAGGCATATTATATTATCATATCATTTTTGGATGCTGGGCTTTGCTGTGATTTGTTGTTCTCTTTTCATCAGGTAAGCTGACAAAACATTTCATTATATACCTAAGAAATCTGAGCAGTGTAACCATTTTCACATTTCAAAATCATATTGCAGCATCTGTTTGTTGCTAATGTAAAGCAAAAGAAAGAATGGGGAATTCAAAGCCATTTTGAATTGACTATCTGTGGTGTGATTTTATTTTAAACAGAGTGAAGCCTGATATCTGGCCTCTTACTATAAATATGACATTGTGTTGCAATTTCTTCTTTACAAAAACTGATTTTTGTTAAATGTATATTTTCTTATAATCAAGGTATATATTTCATTGACTCATCTGGAGTGTTTTATGTCCCCAGTGGAAGTGATATTGATCTTTAGGAAGAGGAATAAATATATTGGTGCCCAGCAATTAAAAACAGCAGGTTTAATAAGGTTGTCAAATTCTAGAGATTCAGGGATATAGACAGTATGCAACTAATTTATACTTAGCTCAGACAGGTGATGTTTGAAGAAGCCTAATGTAATTGCCTAGGTTTTAAAAAGATATTTAAGGAAATGTTGTTGTTCTGTACAATTATTTGTTTCTTGGAATACAGGTTGTGTGAGTCTTTATATGGGAGGAGTTTACCAACAGTTAATAAAGCAGAGGCCACATTTTTCATGATATAGCAGACGTTGTACAGTGTATAACATTAATTCCTTTTCTTAGTATATACTTCTTAAAAGGACTATTAAGAAAGCAATCACAAGAGTTTTCATGTCCCTTCTGTGTTACTACTCCCCATTAAGCTGCTTAAATTCAATATTATTATTAATAATTCTAGGAGTGAGCCACTAAGGGTAAATGGAGAAAAATATCTCTTAGCTATCACTTTGATAAATGGGATTATTTTTAAATAGCAGTTCTACAAATATCTGTGTATAACAATATTAAGATGTTCTTTCATTTGGAAATTATTTTCAAAGACAAGTTGTAGAAATCAATAAAACACAGAATTATAAGGAACACTGCTTACAAAGCAAGGTTTCACCTTATATACAAGAGCACTTTTAGGTTGGTATGTAAAGTACGACTGGATCCTGGATATTGGATAGAGCAGTTTCTGAGGCCTGTGCTCAAATCAAGTGAGAATATGGAAGAACTAAGTGTTTCCACAGTGCCTAGCTCAGTGTGGCTGAAGCATCTATGTGTTAACACAATTTAAATAAATAAATACACGATTTTAAGAATTTAATATGTTTGTGGTTTCTCATTTGGGTTTGGCAAGGAGATGATTTAAGAAATCACTTTTTGACACTGACAATCTAGTTAACTGTTGCCCTGTCTCAAAATCTCCATTTTTGAGGGAAGATTGTCAAGAAGGCTGTAGAGCAGCAGTGACAAAATTTGGAGTTCTCTGCTCTCTCTGTTCCCAGGCATTTTGGTTTTCAGGTTTGGGTATGTTATAGAAAATGTGCTTATATTGTTAGTTCATGATCTCGTCCTTTTGATGGTCAAAATTATATGTCCATATTGATTCTCTTAGATCTAACAACTGGATTCAATATTGCTGTCCATGAAATACTGTTGACATTCTAGTGGTCACTAGCAGGAGAAGATAAAGTCACCAAAATAACTTAGTTCATTTCGTTCCTTTTTTTTTTTTTTGTCTGTGGGAAATATTGAGCAATAAGTCATCTGTCCTCAGGGTTCTCTCTTCTGGCTTTTCAAAGAGTCCCATTCAATCACTATTACGGTTTAACATTCATTTGGGGGATTAGTGACGAAGCGTGGGCTGCATTTTCATCAGTATGCTAATGACTTTCTGCTCTATATTTCTATTTCTTCTGGCCCATCGGATGGCACTGTGTGACTTACCCTTTCTCTTAGGGTGAAACAGAGAATTGTAGGACTGGAAGGGACCTCAAGAGGTCTTCTAGTCCAGTCCCCTGCACTCAAGGCAGGACTAAGCATTATCTAGATCAGCGGTTCTCAACCTGCGGCCCAATTAGCACACAGCTCAGCTGTGTGCTAAAGGCCAGCCTGAGTAGTGGAATCCAGGTTCCTGGTTGACTGGTGCGGTTGGGTCCGGACTGTTTCAGTTTCAATATAGTACTGACAAGGGCGTTTTGGAGAGGAGTTGCAGCTTTCCCTTAGATTTTGCCTGGTCAAACATACAGTAGTAAAGGAGTGACCAGGTCAAGATTGGATTGATACCTTTCAATTAGAAATCTGTCCAACCCTCTGGCTTTTTTTTTTTTATACTTTTAATAGACACTCTAATCTACTCTGCCTGAATGCCTCCAAGAAATCAACTTGATCTTCTGATAGAGTTGGAAAAGGTAGTGAATTCAGACCTTGGAATGGATGGTTTGTAGGTACAGAGCACCATATAGAAGTTTTGAAATTGAATATTTATATCTATTTGTGAGGTAAACAAAACTTTGGGTTTTCCCCCTCAAATGTTAGTTATGGTATTCAGCTAGGAGACTATCTGCTAGAAGTTTTCCTGTTTTGTTTTTTTTTAATTTTCTTGACTCCCAATAGGACTGTTGAAGTCTAAATAAAGTCCATATATCTTGTGCTATGTGGAGTTTGCTCTCTGCATGTCTTATACTGAGTAGTTGCGGGAGTTTAGTTGGGATAGGAAAACAGAAGTATTCCAAATCTATGGTTCTTAATGTTTCAGATAATTTTGAGTTTAGATTATTATTTTTGTAAGAAACATAAGCAATAATTTTTCCTGTCAGATCGGTTTTTAGTGCTTCCCTTAGACCAATCTGTAAAGGAGCTGATGGAATATTGATTTTCAAATAGAGAGTTATTTCTTAGTTTTTTTAAAGAAGAGTAAAAATTGTGACTCGTTCATTCAATTATCATCTCCTAATGTTCTGTGGTGGCTCATATTGCAACAAGGCAATGGATACCGGAGCATGATCAGATATTACTCTTGTCCTCACTTCTAATGCTACATGTATCAGAATATAAAAAGATTAGAAAATAATCAAATGTAGAGTATGTGGAGTGTGTGGTTGAGAAGACTGAGCAGTCTTTCCTTAAAGAATTTACTAATCTCCAAATGTTATGTAATCCTCAATTGTAAAGCGAGAGTTTAATTTGGAGGGTGAGTCCTGCAGAGTAACTGTACCTGTTTTATCTAAAAATAGGGTTGAGTATTATGTAGCTAACACTTTGGGACCACTCTCCATCTCCATTAGTTGTACAGTTAGTTTGTATTTGAAGTCAGAATGCTACTTGTTTGAGCCATAGACATTGTTCAACACCAGTGTGGAATTAACTTTCACAACGAGTATATGACCATCTTCAACTTTTTCCGTGTCTAAAAGTTGAACTCAGAGGATCAGATCCTGGCCCATGCTGTGGTCTCTTTTGCAAGGCTCTGTCAACACAAAGGGGATGCAAAGGTGCCTGAGCATGACTGGGGAGAATTGGCTGGGGTGCACTCTGGTGATCCACAACTTGCATAGTAGCCTACTGGCGGCCTTTACAAACTGGCTTAATTTAGAACAGTCTTATACTCTAAGGGTATGTCTGCACTGGGGCTGGAAGGTGTCATCTCCAGCTCACGTAGACATACCAGCACAAACTCAGATTGAGTTAGCACACTAAAAACAGCAATGTAGCTTCAGTGGCACAAGCAGCAGAAAGTCTTCGACGGGTTTGTGCTTGGGGTTCGCCCCAGTCACATGTGGCACGGTCCCTACACTTCTATTTTTAGTGTGCTTTCTCAATCAGAGCTAGCATGAGGATGTCTGCTTGAGCTGGAAATTACACCTTCCACCTCCAGTGTAGACATACCCTCAATTACATAGTGGCTGAAGTCGCCCTCGGGAGCCTTGAAGACTAGGATAATGCAAAGGTGAGCACAGCCATCTCTGCCCACCCCCTACTCCTTGTCTGCACTGAGCGGAGTTCTAGCACAGTTGAGGATCTGACCCTTAGCTTTTTGTGACATAATATTGATACGACTAGAATTGTAAGAGACCCCCAGCAGGAGAAAGGCTGAAGCCTGAAAGGGCAGAATCTACAAGGGGCATAGCTGGGGTATGACTCCTCAAAGGAGGGGCTTATCTGGGCCATTGTTCCATTGCCTATAGCAATCACTGCTGGGTACTTAATCACAATTAGCTGTTATGTTGCTGGTTTGTTTTGGTCCACACTGACAGGCAGTCCTGGTCAGCATCACTTCAGCTAACTGAGTTGTGCCCAACCATATTCAAACACAATAAAAGTGTGTAGTGTAGACATGTCCACAGTGTGGGAGTTTTAACAGTTTGTTGTGAGAACGAAGGAAAATAGATTAAAAACTTGCAAAATATAAAAACAAGAAATAAAGGAAAACCAGAGCAGAACATTATTTTAAATGTACTTCTAATTAGCTGCATTACAGAGAAATTAGATGCTTAATTCAGCAGCTAAATGAGATTAACTATTAATTGCAATTCTGTGATAAAAATTATCTTGAAGTAATCCAGCCGCCATTAAAATTTATCTGTTCTCTGCAGGACAAAGGGCTCACCGTACCGTCAACAAGCTTTTTTTGCAGTGACTACCCATTATTGCAATGTTAAGTGTTAATGGATACAGTGCAGTAGGCTGAAGTTAAAGCCAATGCAGATGTTAGGCTTAATAACTTGTTAATTGGGTAGCAGGTAAATTATAAATAGGGAGCACAGTGGATGTGCCAGGGGGTTAAGTGTGGAGGAAGGAGTTTTCACTCTCTCTCAAAATAAAGATATACTTAACTTTACTCAGCTATACTGTAATCTTTGTTACAATCTTTGTCTGTACTGGGCTATCTTGATTATCACTTCAAAAGTTTTTTTTTCTCTTACTTAATTGGCCTCTCAGAGTTGGTAAGACAACTCCCACCTGTTCATGCTCTCTCTATGTGTGTATATATATCTCCTCAATATATGTTCCATTCTATATGCATCCGAAGAAGTGGGCTGTAGCCCACGAAAGCTTATGCTCTAATAAATTTGTTAGTCTCTAAGGTGCCACAAATACTCGTGTTCTTTTTGAGGATACAGACTAACGGCTGCTACTCTGAAATTTGTTACAATTGTTCATCTTCCACTAGTTGCAGGTGGAACTCCTCTATTTTTAGCAGCTTATTTAATGTTTGAATAATTGGATAATGTGTATAGCATGCTTTGAAAATTGAAAGTGTTGTATAAGTGCTAAGTATTATTAATTATTACTATTTTGTTAGCAGAGCATAATGTCTCTTTCTCAGAATTTTTAACCCTGCAAGAGTCAAGTATCACAATTTTTGCCTACCAGTACTGAATCTGACTATGTCAGATTTCATTCAGTTTGCCACTTTCAGGATATCAGCTGGATTCACCCCAGGGGTAAAGGGATAGGAAAACTGCACCCCGGGGCAGCTGCACTTCAACGCAGATTTGTGTTGGTGGATGGCAGGTGGTGGTAGGAGAGTCACTCTCCCCTTAGGGAAGATTGTGCTGGGTGAAGGCAGCTCTAAATTTTGTCCTATAGAGCTTTGCTTTCTGACTCTTCAGAAAATGTGCATTGACTCATTTGACCTGGCCTTGAAAATGTTTTGCTGAGTTTCTGTTGAACCTGAATGGATTTTGTAATTCAGTGCCAAACAAAACAGAACAAGCTTAATAACAGTATCAACTACTGTATCTCTGGGGAAATGTAATTCTGGATTAATATTGAATTTAAAATGTCTCCTTTAGTGTGTTTGGTGATCCCATATAATTAAAAATAACAAATAAAGACCACGTAAAATACAAAGATTAAATGAAAAGCTTTTAACATGTCAGGAACTTTCCCCTCCCCAAACACACCTTTTTTTTTTCTTTTTGACCTTTGGTCAGCACAGGTTCCCTTTATTATATCTACAAGTTGTATGCACCAGCAGCTTATTCTCATTCTCTCTGTAGTAGTGGGCCCCATTCAGGGGGTGGATTCTGGTATGGACTATTTTGGCAGGAGCATATCCCTTTGAACTAGCTAGGGATTCCCCATCTTCTTCCTCTGTTTCTTCCTGTTAATAAGAACAAGAAAGAAAATAATGACAAAGTCAAAAGAAGAAAAGAGCCAGAAAAAAAATCTTACTCCAAGAAGAAAAACTACTGCACCACAACCTCAGTGGGTGAGGACTGATTTGGATGGTGTTAGTAGACTAATGACCTATCCTAGATTGACACATTGTTAAGGTTTCCAAGGCCTTAGAACCCTCTGATCAGCTTCTGTGAAGAGGAATCCCCTTGAAATGAGAAAACTTGAGAGGAAACTACTTTCTCGTTCTTGAGTTCCTTGGGATAGATTAAAACATAGGAGACGCACAAAAAGAAAGAGTCCATTATAAAGGTATGTCTTAAGATGTAAAAGGTGGAAAGGGATACAAAATTTTCCACCACATCTAGAGTGGATCCTTCTATCTTCTCCTGTTTAAAAACAGAAAGTTTTATGGAGGGTGTTATGGTACCCTAAAATTCTCTAGATAAAAAACTGGAACATTCCTTATAGAAAGAATACAGTTATTCTATATGCTCTCTTGATGCATGCCCTAGATGCTTTAGTACCCCGATGGCTTCGGTTAAAACCATAAACAAAAACCTAACAAATACCTAGGAATCCAAAACATATACAGTTTTGAGACCCTTCACAAGTCTGAGTCATCTGTGATGTGGTATATGAAATAATCAGTGTTTCATGCTGCATTTTCATAAGATTCTTCAGTCGTAGATTGGAGAAACATATAACTACTCTCCTCTTTTTTATCATACCTTTGTCTTTTTGATCTATTCAGATAAACATTGGATACAAACAAAGTGGGACAGTCTTGAAGAAGCTTCAGCTTCAGAGGAGGAGCATTTCTACTCCAGGTCTGTAATCTTTTGAGTTCCACATTCACCCAGAGAAGTGGCCCTTCTATCCTTACTAGAACAACAGGTTCAGTGGCTATATTTCAAGATCTGCCATTGTCCATAAACACAAAGGTAAGGCCAAGTCTACCTTCTCAGCTCTCAGCAAGGAACAATATTTCTCCTGATCTACTTTCCATGTTTCCTCTTGTCTGGGGCAAATGATCACCCTTGCTAAGGTATCCAGAAGCCTCTGGTTATTAGGCTATTTACTGAAGTTATTTACTATCAGGGGAACTTAGGTAGTTGTTCCAGACATTTAGTACTTGAAGATGTTGGGAGAGCTTTCATTCTGTGTTGGAGTTGTCCCCCTGAACCACTTAATTATATATTGGCCAGGTTCAGGATGGCAAACTTTCCCTTATGCACGGGGTGTCCTATGATCAGTAGAACTCATTGAGGTCTGTCTCCATACGCTCAGCCTTTTTCAGATTCCTCCACTTTGAAATCTGCTTCAGACACATCTAGTACCTAAGCTTTGACCTCTTTTTAGACCCCTGGAATACTTCTGTTCATCTAATTGGCATCCCTCAACAAAGAAATCCACCTTTACTACTATCTTATCAATTTCATTGTTATATTCTTGCTGCCTTCTGGGGACCTACAGGAACAAAGCAAGGGTCAACAAAGTCTTATACAGAATCAAGATACCTGCAAGCTTTCTTCTGTCAGTCTGGGACCACGAAGAGAAGGTTTCCTTAGTGACCTATCCCAATCTAATCAGCTACTCTTCCAAGGGTTTTTTTCCAAGCAAGGATTATGAGCAGACAGACTCTTACAGAGCCTGACTGAATTAAAGTAATTACAGATGCATGTCTACAGGAATGGGGAACTCATACGATTGCTCACATAGCCGAAGTGCTCTGCTTGTCACAGCAAGATTGTCAGAACATAAACTGGTCCCTCTTTAGACATCCTCAGCAACCATTGCAATGGAACAGCCAGTGACGACACAGTGCTAACTAGAGATCAGGAATTAACATCTCAAGTCAGAGGCTCTGTGTGAATTTTTACTAGTATTTACTGTTTATGTTTCAGTAGCTCAGGGGACCCCATTGTACAAGGAACTCTATGCACTAAGGGGCTGTCTACATGCACACTTAGTTTGTGGCAAAGTGGGCAAAGTGGGCAAAGCCTACATGATGGGGGAGGGATGTGACTGCATGGGGCCTACTTTCCCTGGGGTTGTGTGTCTCCTCTGCACAGTTCTGGGTCCAAAGTGGGTTTGGGGGCTGAGGAAGTCCTGACTGTGAATCATCTTACTCCTGTTTCCTCAACATGGATTCTGCTATGGGCAGATGCTCAATGGTTATTAATTCAGGCAGTGTATTTGCTGGGGACCCTGAACATACAGGATGATAGCTGAGCCACAGACATCCTTTCAATGTAGTAGGGACTCAGACATGGTATTATGGAGGCGGATATTGTAGAGGTGGCACCTTGACAATATAGATCCATTTGTCTGTAATGCAACTGAAAACTGAAGAAACACAAAGTATTTGTTTTTCTATTAGGATGGTCCCAACCCCATTTTTTCCCAGTGATAATCTGTGTTTGAGAATATTTCCCTGTCTGTATGATCTTTCATTTATTCAGATTGAATTTCATTTATGATTTCTTGCCCACACTTCCAAACTCTTAAAATTCCTTTCTTTGTCGTGACTACAAAAACAACAAGGAGTCTGGTGGCACCTTAAAGACTAACAGATTTATTTGGGCATAAGCTTTCGTGGGTAAAAACCTCACTTCTTCAGATGCACCCGAAGAAGGGAGGGTTTTTCCCACCAA